CGTAGAAGAAGACGCGAATCAGTCTATCCGCCGAATAATTGGTCCGTACTTCTATTGAAACGATGCTAGCCAGAACGTTACAGTAAATGGTGACTGCTACATAGCGATGATTAGTGACTATTTCGTTCATCAATTAAACAACCATAATGTTCAGGAGTCCTGGTTTCAACAAGACGTTGAAACATGTCATACAGCTCGTGCCACAATTGATTTATTAAGAGAAACATTTGGTAACCGCATAATTTCATGTTTCGGACCCGTGAATTGGCCCCCAAGATCATGCGATTTAACGCCGGTTGATTATTTTCTGTGGGGATATGTAAAGTCGTCAGTCTACGCTGACAAGCCCGAAGCCGTTGATCACTTGGAGGATAACATTCGTCGCTCTATTGCCGATATACAGTCACGAATGTTGGAAAAAGTCGTTGAAAATTGGACCTCCAGATTAAACTACGTACGAGCCAGTCGTGGAGGTCATATGCCTGAAATTTTATTTTAATTATAATGAAAGAATATTATCTTTTCAAAATATTATATTTTATATCAATAAAAGAAATCGTTTTTGTTTTATTTTATTTCAAAGTTCTATACCTCTAGAAAAAACACCCGTTATAATGATTTATTGATGATTTCTAATTATATTTTCATTTCCAATAGTTTTGGGTTCATATTAAACAAAACTTTACTTTAATTTATTACTTAAATAATAATTTTAAAGAGTTTTAGTTTTATTACTTTAATAATAATTTTAAAGAGCTAATAATAGCAAATAAAATAATAATGTTTTCAAACTTGTACTGTTTCACTTCTTTTTATTTTCGCCTTCCCATTTTAACATTTTAATTAACTTAAATGCTTGTAAAAAGACAGTGTTTATTTTAAAAGACTTTTATATTGTACAAAGTTACATAATTATATGTAAGTTTGATATTGTTAGGCGCAAATACATAGTTGGAAGGAATTTAAGATTGAATTGTTATGCTATTTCAAAGAATTTGGAATTCTTCTCATGATCGTGGAAAGTAAACTTTAATATTATTTCTTGGGAAAGACCGTCTAGAATTTTCTGTCACTAGCAAAAAACAAAAATTTTAAAATAAATTTGAACACGAAGGATTCCTTTTAATAATTAAACGAATTTCACTATTATGATAAAAATTTTGAAATAAATTAATTACAATGTATACGACGTGATTGACTCACTCCTTTGAATCAAAAAATTTACAGTCAATACTTTTACTATAAAATGACTTTTAGTGTGATGTGTCTTATACATTTTTCTATAATTCTTTACATTCAATTGTGATGGAGTCGTAGTAAATTAATATCATATTTTGGATTGAAAATCAATACTTTTAAAAATCAACTTCAGATTGATTTAGAATCAAGAACTTAATAATCCGATAAAAAATAGTTTGACTTTAAATAGAATCTGGAAAAGCGAAAAAGTATATTTTTATTCCTTTTTCATGAGACAGGAGGCAAACGAGCTCTCTAACTCTTCGGACGAAACGCAGCCACTAAAGGCTACTTCAAGCCGATCTTCTGTGAGAGGGTGAGACTTCTCCGGTCGAGCTAGCACATATAGCTATCACTACCACCAATTTTTTTTTATTTGATTATTGTGTTAGTTAAAACAAATAGGAGTCAATTAGTTATCGGTTTATTTGTTCAAAAGTTGCGGTCAAGGTGTTTTATATTGTTTGTTTTTTATTTATTTGATATGCTGGGACGGAAAAACATGTTTATATAGTATTATTGTGAATTTATGAAAAAATATTATTGTTTACTAGTTTTTGCCCGCGACTTCGTCCGCGTTAATTTCATCATCTTCTATCTTCTTCTTCTATATATATAAAAATGGATTGCTGTTCCTTAGTCTCGCTAAAACTCGAGAACAGCTGAACGGATTTATCTTATCTTAGTTTTGAAATGTTCGTGGAGGTTCAGGGAAGGTATAAAAGCTGAAAAAAATTGATTCACTACTGGGAAAACCATAAAAACAGCCGTTTTCTATTTCCCATACAAACGTTTTTTTTGACATTAGATTTGACAACTAATATGTCAATCATTCTGTCGCACTTCAAAACACACAGATTTATGGCTTACAGGTAAACTCCAAATATATAAATAAAAAAACGTAATAGATATTTCTTGATTATAGGGCGATATGAAGCGCCAGGTCTTCTAGTTAGTAATATATGTATAGCTGACCGGGCGAACTCTATTCCGTCCTTAGAGGCCAATAATAATCAGGTTTCTCCTGTTTCAATCGAACAGAATGATTGGCATATTAGTTAGTTATCAAATCTAATGTCAAAGAAAACATTTGTATGGGAAATAGAAAAGGGCTGTTTTTAGGGTTTTCCCGAAAATGAATCAATTTTTCTTACCTTTTAAACCTTCCCTGAACCTCCACGAACATTTCAAGACTAAGATAAAATAAATCCGTTCAGCCGTTCTCAAGTTTTAGCGAGACTAAGGAACAGCAATCCATTTTTATATATATAGAAGATTTACCTTGAATATGGCTGTATATTCGGTAGGATTTTTACAACAATGGTGGGTAACCTGAAGAAGAAGTTATCTATTTTTAAACTTTTTGGTCTAAGTTCTTTTAAAAATGTTTATTTTAACGTGTTACTACTGTCTGAGAATTCTTTCTGAAATATTTTGTAAAGAAAAAGTATATTAAAAATAGATAAAATTAAATCAATTCAACTGAAGTGTGTAAAAATAAATAAATTCTTTTAAAGCTTTAGTAAATTTTATCCCCAAAGAGTTAATGAGGAAAGTTGGCGTAACGTAGAAGTAAAAAAAATTATGGTAGCTTTTTTTTTGTATTTACTTAAAATAATACTCAACCAGCAATATTAGAAGTGGTCTCAATGAGTAAGTGAGTTGACTAATCGAGTTACAAGATGTTTATATTTTTGGTCGAGGAAAACATGAGTCGAAATTATTACAACAAGCAAACAGATATATTACTGTTTTATCGCATGGAAAAAAATTGTTTCAAAAAGTTTTTTCGATTATCATTATTAAACAATCGTTACCCCTCAAAACATTATGTTTTCTAATTTTGAAAGATGTTATTATGATATTTTATTTTCTATTCTTAGTTTGTTTATTTTCTAAAAGTGATGTGGTAAAGTAATCTAAAAAAGAAGTAAGATTATAAATAAAAGTAATAAATTACAATTTTATTTTATTTTAGTGAATGTATCGATACTATTGGAATTTAATATATTTAGTAGATACATAATAAACGGCTAAAGTTACTGTGCAATCACGAAATAGTAAAAACGTTAAAAATATGTTATCATATTCATAATCATATTCACTATGATTAAAAACTGAGTAACGTCGAGATAAATGCATACATGAAGCATAAAACAACATAAACTTTATAAGACCCTGAGAGAACTTGACAAGTGTACTCTAAAGAACAAGAATGGGAACACAAATGGCGGACAACAGTCATTGATTTTAGTACTTCGAATTGTAATCACGTTCCCAGGCACATAAAAGATTAAAAAAGTTGACACACATAATATCAGGATTCGTATAAAATGTATTAGTCCTATAAAACGGTTACAGATTAGGTATTAGAATATCAGAACCATATGATCTGAATGAATGGCTGCGACAAGTAGACAAAAGTATGAGTGACTGCAGCATTAATATCCACACAACTTGTCAGACGAGGTGGAGTAGACCTGGCCAAAAATTCCAGACTGTGATATAACACTGCTTTTAAGCAGATAAAACAGGTAATCACAGACAATCGCGTAAGTTGATAATACATTTAGTTTATTTTTTGCTTTATATTTATAGCAACAATATTTTCAAGAGCATAATCAGAAACTATATTACTATTTCTATGAAAACTTTTACTCCAGAATCGGACAGTGACAATAAGATCTTAGTTATTGTCACTGTCCGCTTATGGAACTATCAAAAACAAGAATGATAAAAGAGAATTTTTCGGTTAAAAAGCCAAACTAAAGTTGTTACCTTAAAATGACACCGTTAAATGGCAAGCATATTCATGAAAAAATGTATCTTGAATACAAGTTGTCTAATTATTTATAATCAACATTTTAAAAAAGCTTTCGATGCTCATTATAGTACTAACACTGAATATTTGTTGACCAAAAAAAAACGAAACGGTTAATTGAAATATATGTTTGAACTTGTGTATTACGAAGTTTGAATAAAATGTTTCGAAACATCCAGTAAAACTTAAAAGTATTCCTATTTCTTCGTTAAAACTTATAAAAACCAAGCGTTATCGGGTTGTTTTGAAGTAAAACTCTGGTAGTAAGTCGTTGTCTGCCCTCGAAGTAATAACGAAGACGTTGACGAAGAGAGCCGCTTAATTAACTTCTAAATGAAGTCGTGGTCGCTTAGGCTGAAGTTTGTGAGAAGAAATAATAATGAACCGAGTGATTGAGGATGTCAGGAGAGATGACTAACACGAATTTAAACGAAGTATCAAGATGTTATTTTCGCTTGTTAACGGATTATAAAATATTTTTTTTTATTCAATACAGGGCTGTAGGTGCTTAAGATAAATATTGTATACATTTTAAAAAGAAATGGAGGTTTTGAGTTTGTAATAAAAACAATGTTATAAAAAGTGTATATAAATTGAGTATGATGTAAGGTTGTATTTTCTTTTTTCAATAAATTATGATTGCTATTACATATTATTATAAATAAATATGTTATTAAATTTATATTCAAAAAATTCAATGGGAAGTCTTACAAAACGCACATCGTATGAAATATTGAATTATTATACATATATACAATTGAAAGACAATAAATATTTTAGAAAAAGCATTCTATGATGACATTTAAAAAAGGAGTCATATGTATAGAAAAAATAAAATCAACTAAAATCAAATTAAAATATTGTTTATTACAATTAAAACACAAGCAGCTTTCCAGAATCGTTTATGCATTGATTTCAGTTACGCCATTAGATTTCGAGTTTAGTAATTTCCTGAAACAGAAGAAAAAAAATAGTATTTATCTTCATTCACAAAATTATTTTATATCAAGTGTCAAGAAATAGAAATTTTTAGAAAAAATATATACTTATTTCTATGAAAACCTTACAGTCTTAATAAATCATTTGTTCAATTGAATAGTGATTCAATGTATCTTTTATGATTATGGGTAACTAGGAAATGTAATTGTAAGTGTCCTACCTGGGATCAACAAACCACGCATCTTTTGTTGTTCTTCCGGGGTGTAATCGGAAAAGTTGTTAAGATCGTATGTAGCGTCAGAGGGTCTGGCATTAGCTTCGTTAATTACTTTCAAAGTTTTCACAAAGGCCTGATAGTGTACTTCTCTGTCAGCTGCATCCTTGTAACTCTTATTGTAGTCTTTAATATATTTTTCAAAAAGGGCAGGAGCGTTATTTACATCGTAGTGAGGCTTATCCCCAAGTGCAACTGCTACCAGAGCTAGTACAAATACAGAAACTACGAACTTCATTGTTATATATGTTCCTCGTCAATCTAAATGAGTAACTGATTTTATCAACTGAATATCAAGCCTTATATATTCATGAACAAGGAAAATAAGATCCGAAAATATTATAATAAGCAAATAGATACCAACATGTTTAGAAGCCTGGTAACAAGACGATGTTTTTATTATTTATTTGTAATGTTCTACCTTTATTTATATTATTATTATAACTCAGAGCTTATTGCTATGTTTAAAAAGTTCTATTTTCTGATTAAAACCAATAACAATTAATATGTACAATGATATAATAATATACTTTTGTCATAATTAATTTAATAAACAAATAGTATTATTAAATCGAAATGTTAATAAATAAATTATTTTTATGTATGAATAAAAAATTATGAAAATTTAACAATATTGAATACAAAGAGATATTATGAGTTTCTTAAGACCCTTTCAAACGCCTCCTTTTTTTTTTAGTTTCTGATACCTCCTAGAAATAATATCCTAAAAGTTTGGATTTCTTTGCAACTGCGGTTTAATGCTTTCAGAACTCGGAAAAAATATAGTTTAAAGTAAAATAATTAAAAGTTTTATTTCTTAAGGTAATAACAGCGGTTGTCCATTATTAAAGGTGTGTTTTTGAATAAAAACTTATTTGTATATATATATCTAACAAAAATCAAAATAGACAGCCGGGAGACCTTAAATATCTGGAAATATCCAAAGATAGTGAAGATGTTGCCCTACAAATGAGTATGAAATAAAACAAGATACCCCGTATCAATAAATGCGAGAGATATAACTCTGTTATTAAAATCAAAGACAGACTTTTGAAGGCGTTTGGGGTTAATCGATACATTTTTTTGGTACTATATACAAAAAGAATTTGGGTGTGAATACGCATTCATACCGTAGTCAGCGGCAACCCTATGATAGTGATGATATCGCATTGGTTTTATCCCCTTCTCGATTCTAAGCTCAATAGAACCTGCTCAAAATAATACTAACATCCTCAAAAATCATTGGATATACCTACCTATACCACAGGACAAGAAGACAACCCTTGTAGTTAATTGCTAGGTAATTATAATATACTAGTTTTTGCCCGCGACTTCGTCCGCGTTAGTTTCGTCATTAGTAATATAGGTATAGCTGACCGGGCAAACTCTATTCCGTCTTCAATAACCCGGTATTGGTATTTATTAAATTTCTACTGTTTCAATCGAACAGAATGATTGACATATTAGTTAGTTGTCAAGTCTAATGTCAAAAAATCGTTTGTATGGGAAATAGAAAAGGGCTCTTTTTAGGGTTTTCCCGGCAATTTTTCCGATTTTTCTCACCTTTTAAACCTTCCCTGGACTTCCAGGAGTATTTCAAGACTAAAATTAGTCAAATCGGTTCAGCCGTTCTCGAGTTTTAGCGAGACTAAGGAACAGCAATCCGTTTTTATATATATAGCAGACAAGACGTTCTTGTACACGGTATTATAACTTTTCAACGTTTTTAAATAAAGCAAATTATTGAAGTAATATTGATGTTTATTTTGAAAAACGAATTCAGAACTGGTTTAAGTTCACTGGCTGCTTGATTTTTTTGTGATCAGTACTAAATAAATATGTTTTTATGATTCTATAAGTATAATAACCCTATTATTAAAAATCCATATATATATATATATATATATACAGGGTGACTGGTGAATTACTATCGATACTTGAGGATGTGATATGTCACGATCATATATGACAAAATAAATATTAATATAACATAAATATTAATAAACTTCTAAGTAAAGTTAACCAAAAGTTATGTAATTCCTTACGCATCGTGTGAACACCCTACAGACTAGGTATACACACACACACACACGCGTGCGGCGGCGTGGTGTTGTATCAGCACGCCGCCGCACGCGTCCACACTTGGAACACTTGGAAAATTAAGTACCTATTTTTTTTACATAATTCGAATCAGAATCATGTACCGAGTATTCTCCTTAAATATTGATAGTAATTCACCAGTCACTCTGTATAGTCAGTGGTGGCCTAGTGGTTAAAGGGCCCGCCTCTCGTTGCCGTGGGCGCGGGTTCGAACCTAGCAAGTACCAATGTGATTTTTCGGAGTCATATATACTTTCTGAGAGTATTTAAACACCACTGACATACGGTGTAGGAAAACATTGTGAGGAAACCTGGTCATATAGTTTCACAATTATAAGTTTGAAATCACCAACCCGTCTTGAGCAAAGGTGGTGATTAATGCTCAAACCCTCTCCATATGAGAAATAGGCCTTTCCTCAGCAGTGGGCTCTGATTGACTAATGATGATATATATAAAAAAAAAAATATTATAAAAAGTGTATATAAATTAAGTATGAGTAAGGTTGTATTTTCTTTTTTCAATAAATTATGATTGCATTACATAATAATAAATTTATATTCAACAAATTCAATGAGAAATCTGACAAAACGCACATCGTATGAAATAATGAATTATTATACATATATACAATTGAAAGACACTAAATATTTTAGAAAAAACATTCTAAGATGACATTTGAAAAAGGAGTCATATGTGAAGAAAAAAAAAATCAACTAAAATCAAATTAAAATACTGTTTATTACAATTAAAACACAAGCAGCTTTCCAGAATCGTTGATGCATTGATTTCAGTTACGCCATTAGATTTCGATTTTAGTAATTTCCTGAAACAGAAGAAAAGCAAAATAGTATTTATCTTCATTCACAAAATTATTTTATATCAAGTGTCAAGAAATAGAAAAATATTAGAAAAAATATATACTTATTTCCATCTGCTTAATTGAATAGTGATTCAATATATCTTTCATCAATACAAAGATTTTATTCAGATTGAATTATGGGTAAATGGGAAATGTAATTGTAAGTGTCCTACCTGGGATCAACAAACCACGCATCTTTTGTTGTTCTTCCGGGGTGTAATCGGAAAAGTTGTTTAGATCGTATATAGTGCCAGAGGGTCTGGCATTAGCTTCGTTAATTTCTTGCAAGCTTTTCACAAAGGCCTGATAGTGTACTTCTCTGTCAGCTGCATCCTTGTAACTCTTGTTGTAGTCTTTAATATATTTTTCAAAAAGGGCAGGAGCGTTATTTACATCGTAGTGAGGCTTATCCCCAAGTGCAACTGCTACCAGAGCTAGTACAAATACAGAAACTACGAACTTCATTGTTATATATGTTCCTCGTCAATCTAAATGAGTAACTGATTTTATCAACTGAATATCAAGCCTTATATATTCATGAACAAGGAAAATAAGGTCCGAAAATATTATAATAAGCAAATAGATACCAACATGTTTAGTAGCCTGGTAACAAGATGATGTTTTTATTATTTATTTGTAATGTTCTACCTTTATTTATATTATTATTATAACTCAGAGCTTACTGCTATGTTTCAAAAGTTCTATTTTCTGATTAAAACCAATAACATCTAATACAATGATATAATAATACACTTTTGTCATAATTAATTTAATAAACAAACAAATCGTATTATTAAATCGAAATGTTAATAAACAAATTATTTTTATGTTTGAATAAACAATTATGAAAATTTAACAATATTGAATACAATGAGATATTATGAGTTTCTTAAGACTCTTTCAAACGCCTCCTTTTTTTTAGTTTCTGATACCTAATAGAAATAATATCCTAAAACATTGGATTCCTTTGTAACTGCGGTTTAATGCTTTCAGAACTCGGAAATAATATAGTTTAAAGTAAAATATTTAAAAGTTTTACTTCTTAAGGTTGTTCATTATTCAAGGTGTGGTTTTGTATGTATAAAAACTTATTTTTTTATATGTAACAAAAAACAAAATAGCAGCCGAGAGACCTAAAATATCAGGAAATATCCAAAGATAGTGAAGATGTATCCCTACATATAAGTATGAAATAAAGCAAGATACCCCGAGTCAATAAATGAGAGAGATATAACTCTGTTAGGTACTAAAATCAAAAATAAACTTTTGAATGCGTTTGGGATTAATCGATACAATTTTTTGTTATTATATCCAAAAAGAATTTGGGTACGAATACGTTTCCATACCGTAGTCAGCGGTGCATCCCTATGATCTTGATGATATCGCATTGGTTTTATCCCCTTCTCATTTCTAAGCTCAAAAGAACCTGCTCAGAATAACACTTTAAAGAAATTTCTCAAAATAATACTAAGATTCCTTAAAAATCATTGGATATACCTATACCACAGGACAAGAAGACGACCCTTATAGTTAATTGCTAGGTAATTATAATATTACATGAAGTTATAGTACACAGTATTTAAACTTTTCAACGTTTTTAAATAAAAGCAAATTATTGAAGTAACATTTATTTTGAAAAACGAATTCCGAACTGGTTTAAGTTCACTGGCTGCTTGATGTTTTTGTCATCAGTACTAAATAAATATGTCTTTATGATTCTATAAGTACAATAACAGTATATAAGTTTGGATTGTTTAAGAATCTAATTCTTATTATGTATGGTGAAGAGCGAAGGTTAAATGGAATATATACTTAGATGTATACATATAGTTTGTTTTTAACCTTGCAAGAAAATTAATGTACTAGGAGGTTGACAATATTTTTTTATATTCAGAAAAAAAATTAAAGTATTTTTTAAAAACCGAGCGTTATCGGGTTGTTTTGAAGTAAAACTCTGGTAGTAAGTCGTTGTCTGCCCTCGAAGTAATAATGAAGACGTTGACGAAGAGAGCCGCTTAATTAACTTCTAAATGAAGTTGTGGTCGCTTAGGCTAAAGTTTGTGAGAAGAAATAATAATGAACCGAGTGATTGAGGATGTCAGGAGAGATGACTAACACGAATTTAAACGAAGTTTCAAGATGTTATTTTCGCTTGTTAACGAATTATAAAAAGAACTTTTTAAAGTCTTAAGAAGTTTTTATGTACATGATTTCAGAGGAATATATTTTTCATTTGGCGGAATTAAAAATTATATAATTATTTTACCCTAAGTTTCGGTTACTCTACAGCAACCGTGTTCAAGGGCAGACGAGATAAAAATGTGTGACACTTGTAAAATAGCGTGATAAATCTTTTTGTACATTAGAAAAACAGAGTTTCATTTAAATGGATATTCACGAAAATTTTGTATATTGTTAAATAAACAATGCTCTATTTATAGAAACATTTAGCTATTTTTCTTGAGTTTGGCTGTCAATCTTTTTTTAATAGACCCGCAAGCGAATGGTTTCATAACATCAATGAAATATTATTAAAAAATCTTAAAACGAAATCTTATAATAGAGTATCTCGTACAATAATACAACGTTGGTTTTAAACTACTAATAATAAAACAATAAACCGTGTGATATTTAGTGGAAAATTTATAGTTTACTTGAATAAAATTTCTTACAAATAAATAAGACCATTCCGGAAGTCTTTATATAATAATTGCTAAAAAATTATTCTCTTTGATTTCGAGCTCATTATTTCCTAAAACGCAATAAAAATGTTTTGTAGAGAGCAAACAAATTATCGTAGTAAAAATTGGACGTTTAGAAATGACTTATATTTCTCGTTTTTTTTTTCAAATATTTGTGTATAACTAGATCAAAAAATGGTAATTAGTTGTCAATTAGGTAAAACATAAATAATATTAAAGCCACATTTATATATATACGAACATATCTATTATCATGATTTTTGTTTCCAAAAGATAAGAGATGAAGATGTTAAGTTTGCCGCGAGAGTACTTTGGGAGTAAATCAAAATTTCTGAAGTCGCAGCGGCACTAACCCATTCTTGAGACTTTTAGATTTATGAAAGAATACACTTTCTTGGTTTCCGCAATGTAAAAAATTATTCTTAGCACTTGTAAGGATTTTTGGAACGTTTGTATCTTTCTATAGTAATATTACTTATGAAATGTAAATTGTGTGTTCTTATTTTTTTTTATTAAAATTATTTGAATTGATTTCATTAACATTTCATTGTTTTTTCAAAGGAAAATGTTATCCATATCCAGAGGCTATTTACCAAAACATATACGTTTATTTTAATATTTTGTCTCTTCCAGTCTCTTAAATCTTTTTTAACATCTTATCGTTATTTCTTATCTCATATTCAATCGTTATTTCTACTAATTGACAACAGCGGAACAAAGGAAATAAATATGAACTGATCGCTTTAACACTTACAGTGTTGATAACAAGGACACGAAAATTGAAAGGTCAATATTACATTTTTGGTGTTGTTAACCAAAATTTTATTATTGTAACTATGTATTTACTGAGGACCTTATGTGAATAAATGTTAGATATATTTATTTTTAAGCTTCATTTAGCATTGCTTACACAGACCTCAAATTGGATCACTTCGTTGGTCATTTTTATTTTTATACGAAAAATATATTTTTTAACCATACTGTATTATTGATTTATATATAATTTTTAAAAAAATAATTAAGAACGCCGTTTCCATATTTCAAGTTTAATAAAACAATTTTTAATGTAATTAACAGAATTAGAAATATCAGATCAGAAAAACAACAGAAAACATAATTATTGATAAATTAAGTTTATAATATTGCTAAAGGAAATAGGTTTAATAACTTACCGTATGATTTTCGAAACAATATGTTATAAAAATTCATATAAGTGACGAGTCACAATAAAAAAGTATTTTTTTATTAATTGTATGCTATGAAAACCTTTTATATTTTGTTCTGTTTTTTCCAATATTACAAAGAACAAACAATACTATGCTGAACTTTTAGATTTCCTATTTCGTTTTGTAAAAAACAAAAGAAATATTTTATGAAAATTCCAAATATTTTCAAAATCCGTCTCTATATAATATTATTACTTCTGAACAAATTTTTCCAAAGTTGGCTTAAAGATAATAACTTCATTTTTTCTCTCATCAATATATTTGTTTATTTAGTGAACATCAACTACGTATTTTCAATTCATGTGTTTTCAGATTATAGCTATTTAGATCGTCTAAGATTTATGATACTGAACTTGTAAAACTAAAAAAAAAGTTTAACAAAGAAAAAATAAATTAAGGCATTAATGTTTATCAGATACCTTTACATATTAAATAGAAAAAATGAAATGTTTCAAGTTCCGATAAATGTTTTGTTACAAAAATAATCTTAATAATAGTGTGAAAAAAAAACTTGTTTCCATGTGATAAAACGAACAGATATGTATTTGTTTATTATAATAATTTCGGCTCAAGTTTTCCTGTTCCGCAGATATATAAGCCTGTAAATTGGTGGGTGTACTCACTCATCTTATTGTATTCACAGGAAACACATACTTTATTCATTATTAAACATGAAGTTCGTAGTTTGCGTATTCTTGTTTGCTGTAGTAGCGGTGGCACTAGGTGACAAGCCTCACTACGATTTAAACGACGCTCCCGCACTTTTCGAAAAATTTGTTAAGGACTTCAATAAAAGTTACAAGGATGATGCTGATAGAGAGGTACACTATCAGGCATTTGTTAAGAGCTTGCAAGAAATAAACGAAGCTAATGCCAGACCCTCTGGAACTATATACGATATTAACAACTTTGCTGACTACACGGAAGAGGAACAAAGCAACATGCGTGGTTTGGTGTTACCAGGTGAGTAAATTTTTCATTACTATTTGATCTCAAGTAGATACCGAAATCTCTTAACTTTAAATGTTGATATCTTTAAATGCATGTGTAATCTTTATTTTAGCAAACGTTTTTTTTAAGCAGTGATTAATCATATCGTCCATTCTTGTAAATTTTTTATAACACAATATTTTACGTGGTTCACGAATAATTTTTTTCAATGATATCATGTAATTGTAGTTACCTGTTGTATAAATGATTATTTTTTTGTTTCAGAAAACGAGTAACGTGTAAAATCAAAATATTTAGTTATCCAATGGTTTAATGACGTTTGAAGATTCGGCTATTTGTTAAATTGTAAAAATAAATGTTACTTTTAATAACTTAATCTGATGTTTATTATTTTCCTATTATTTTTCCTCCAACCTTCTTCCAAAGTAAATTAGTGCCAGAAACCAAAGTAAGGATCATAATAAATATATTATTATAATGTTTAGGCCTTCATATTTCTTCAATTGCTTGTATATGTAGAATTTTTTTAGTGAAATCTTTAGCAGGTTGTTGCCAAATGCTAAAAACATAGCTTTACGTTTTCTTGATACATTAACAGATTTGTGCAGTGGAGTTGGACTGTGTAATTTTTGAATTAATATTCTCTTCACTTAAATAATTGTGATGTATGTTTCAGATTGTCTTAACGTAAATATTTCTTGCCATCATATATTATCTTAAAAATAACGGAGAGATTTCATTAGAAACATTAATAGAAATAATTATGTCACGAGAGTAACAAAATTTAAAACACAAGTATAATACAAAATTTAGAACAAATTTGCGAACTCTAATCAAATATCACATTATTTGAGATCAAAGTGGCTAACTCAACAGAACGCTCTGTCAGTGTTTAATGTTAATTATTATAAATGTATTACCAGCTGTACAATAATGTGAATGTTGTATGAATTTTAATATTAACATACATCGATAACAAATTTTTATTCTATTTAAGCATTTTACAAAAATATTTAAATGTAAAGAGACACAACTGTAGCTTGAGAATTAAAATGATAACAAAATTAATGAGCTGCACTGGAACTATTTTATATACTTTATTTTACTACTAACGTTTTCAATATTTTTATTTATTTAAGAACTGTTGCAGTTCTTGGACTTATAAAATAGCTTAATATACGAAAAAAAAATTTACCGAATCGGTATCACTTCTCTTAACTCTTTCGTATTGTGTATATTGTTATGTTACTTATGATGCTCAGGCTATAGACTAAGAGGTTAATTTGATACTAAACAAAAAAATATACTTGCTAAGAAGCGCTACCCTTGATGAGACGTTTTAATATTAAAGTACAACATTATACCTTTTTTATTATTTTGTTACTATTTAGTAATGATATATAATTCTGATTTTCACACTGGTGCCTATCAAATGTTCAATGAACCAGAATATCAATTATATAATTAGAAGTGGAATGTTATTAGAGGTCAATCTTAATATACCCCGGATATAATAACGGGACAATTTCGGGAAACTCAATAAATAAATATTAAGAAATTGGAATAGCTTCACAAAAGGATAAACAATTGTGGTAATTTCAAGAAAGTCTTTGAAAGTGATAATGAAAACTTTAACATATATTATAAAGAAAAATGACAAACACTTAAAAATTCAAATGACAAAGATAATACACAAGTTTAAATAAAGAAACCAAAAATTCAGAAATATTGCAACGTGAATTTCATAGATGTATATAATGGAACATTATACATGTCAGAAGAAATCCAATTAGTATTTAGTATAAAATGTTATGTATTTTATACTTTAGGTAGTAGGTAATAATGATTATGTTTCAAGAGGATGTAACGTATAAAAATACAGCATTATTATCAAAAGTTTCATGCTCTCCTGCTTTAAAATATCCTACTGTTTGGCTTTCAGGAAAGCTTTAGAGAATTAAATAATAATGACAGCGAAGACTTTTAGAAACAACACATCTTAATATAATATGAAGATAAAACATAATATTATTATAAATGTAAAATTAAAAAATATACATAATCGAAGTATAACTTCGTGGAATAAGTATAGATTTTCGTGGAAAGAATGTTCTCTGCTTCATTTAAAATGTATGGTCACACGTTAAATTTAAAAGTATTGATTTGAATTTATTTATGAAAAGTGTACGATAGTTTCTAATTGATAGTGTTTAACTATATTTATAAAATATCCTACAAGACACCACATGTATACATCATAAATCAACAAACACAGAGTTTCAAACAGAGTTTCGATTATATCCAATGTTACACTGTTATTTTGCGATACCTACAATATATACGGATACACACATAGGTAGAAGTCTTAACTTTTATTTTTACCAACCTGAGATCAGGAAGAATGAATTAGTCGTCTTAATTTAACTAAGGTATATAGATAGCAAGCTAAAGCACTGATTTGAATTTATAATGACGCTGTATGAAACTCTATCACTCAAGATTTTCTGAGTCTAACATTATACTCTGAGTGTATAAGGTTATACTCAGAAAATCTTAACAATGTTTTTGTCTGTTAGATATTGACCGAGTTTTTGACCTCTCACTACTGATATTCTAGACTCTCTCAACTTGGACTTGAAAATATAATCTCTGCTATAAAAAATGTAATTATGAGGTCATGTGAGTGTTTTATGTTTATGTGTGCGAGTCTTCTCTATTGTAATTCTTATATGGATCTACCGATTTATTGCATTTTTTTATTTGAAAGTTCTGTAGTATAAGTTTATCTACCTACAGATTTTCTAAAAGGATGCAAGGTATTAAACAACAATAATTAAATTGATGGTTTGTGCAAAATTTAAATATTCTTGTTAAAATATATAATATAATTAAAAAATAACACTAAATTAACACATTCCTGTTGTGTCCTAACATCTGCACAATCCATTATCTTGCTTCATGTTTCCAAATATTTTTGTTAATACATAATATGTATATATGTATATAGGGTGAATAAACAGTAAGAATAAAAAACCTTGTATATAGTACTATACAAGGGCAACCTTGACTGAAACAATAAACGGACGTAACGAGGTCACATATTACAACTATAGACAAATCACACTAAACAAACGATAAAAAAATTTTTACATACTGACAACACGACCTTTTGAACTCCGAGCTCAATTTATTTTTAAATGATTTTAGTATGTAACATCAATAATATTGATTATATATTACTTGAACTCTTACGCCACCAGGGGATTGATAAGTAATTAGTATCTATAGTTGGGATAAAACAGTATTAATATTTTTGAATCAACTTACGTAACGGTGTTAAAAACAAGTACAAAGGGAATAAATAATGACAAAGGATAAAATTAAATATAAGATGAACAACCACAGATCTATGGGACAGTGGTTATTAGAAAATAACTTCCTACCATTGCTTGGTGTTAATTTTACACTAACCAAGAACTCGCCTTGTTAGGTGAAATGGTTGAAGTCAAATTATATTTTATCTGAAAAAATACTAAGAAATAATCGTTGTTCTTTGTGTGATTTTTAATAATTATTAAAAAAAAAACTCTTGGTCATTCATTTGTATTCAGAACAATGCACCTTTTCAATACTTTCATATTTTATTGATTTTTAATATCATTATTTAACTATTACTTAAAAGAATTTAGCATAATTTTATTTGCATATAAATTGACATTGAAGTGAACTTTCCAAGTATTATGCACTTAAGAAATAATAATGAATGCGCTGTTTTTATTCTGCTATGAATAAATAGCTAAATGATGTTGGCAATTCAACTATTTTAAGTGATGTTTTTGGCTAAGAACAGAGTCGTGAGTTTTGAATCTTAAAAATACGAAGCAAATTGTATATTTAATTTAGAGATCAAAAAGTTTTTTAACAGATAGGAATTGTACAAGCTATCTATCCTTATCATAAATAGCCATAATATTCGCATTAGCATGAAATACAATAATAGCAATCCATAAATAAAAATTGATTCTTTGCTGAGATTACTTTATATACTACTATAATAATTGTTACACTGTTTCTGAAATCAAATTGAAATAAACTGAAAGTATGCGATGTTTATATGAGCAAAAAAAGTTTATAAAAACACTATTTCTTTGAATTTTAAAGTAAAAATAATATATTTTTAAGGAAATAACAAAATTGTTTATAGTATAATATAATATAATACGGTTACAAAAAATCACAATTTGTCATTACTTTTGTAATTATCTATATTCTGTGACTGAGGAAAAGATAAAATAAAGTGAACCATAATAACACAATAAAAAATATGATAAGTACCTGGAATTTTCGTAAATAACAAGTTAGGAAAGAAAATATTTTGTTCTAATATCTCATGGTTTATCCACGGATAACGGATTTATATGCAGTGATCTGAAAAATTCAGCTCTCAGTATTGACAAATTTATGATTGAAATTGTATAAAAAAATCGATTAATGATCACCATTAAGTTATGTATTAGTTTTGCATATTTTTATTGACACTTGTGGATAACTAATCTACATCTACTTTAACAATGTTGTTAAGATGGTGTCTTAGAGAAACATACAATAGGAGCACACATTTATACTCATGCACACATATATATATATATATATCGGCGCTACCAGCTTATTAAACCTCTCATTAGTATTTATGATTATTGTTAAAAGTAAAACGAAATCAAAGGTTGCTTAAAAGGAGAATAGAACTATGTTTAAATCTTGGTATAAATATGACGTCTGGACGCACAACGGCAGAATTCAGAATTGAGAATTCAGAGTTCAGTGAGTGCGTATCATTGAAGTATGTGATTATGAAGAACCTTCGAGAAATACAGGAGCATTAAGAACAATTGAAGTTTCATTGTAAAATATCATGGAACGCTCTAGAAGAAGTGACATATGTGACGTCAGCGATTGTGGCATCCTTCTATTTTAAAACAACGAATTTGTAATATATATATATATATATATATATATATATATATATATATATATATATATATATATATATATATATATATATATTTATATATTTATACATTTATATATTTGTATTTTTTTAAATATAATTAAAAAAAATTACTCATTCATCACCAGGAAGGCATACTTTAGGTATATACTTACATTTATTCAAAAATATGAATTGTACATTTAACAACATTCTGTGTTGTTCTTAAAAATTCGGTGAGAAAAAAAATGAAAACATTTTTTAAACAATTGCTCAATACATAAATTATATTTAATGAAAAATTGTGAATGTACAATTTATTTGCTCCATAGAGCCTCATAACAAATATTTTTTAAAACAAATACCTTCAAGAGATCCCAAGGTTTTGTATACTCTTAATATTTAAACGATGTCAATGATATTACGAACATATATAATCATAGTATGTTATAAAATTATATATAGGCCATATATAAATTAAGTACACATTCATCCGTTTGTTGATCCCTATTCAAAGTAGTTATTGCAATAAATTAATATAACACAATAAATCCTCAAAAATATTACCATCAAATATATCCGAATCTCACTGAAAAAATGTAACACCTTAAAAATTCGCTGTATACATGACTAGTGCCAAAATAGTAAATTATACTATCCCAATATATGTATGTAAATATGGAATGAAAATCGTAATAAAGTTATGCTTTTGGATAAATAAGTAACAGAGAAATCTACCGCATAGCTGCTTTAAGGTCATAAATTTTATTATCCCATGAATAAAATGATAAGTTCCATGTTTCTGATTTAGAATATTCATACAAGAAACTTGAGTCCGCTATTTACAGTTGACCAGGTCGTGAAACAGCAATTTTGTATGTATTATGCCTAAATTATACCTTAAGTATTAGTGTAGGTTTAGGTGATCCCTGCTTGATGAAAAATAGTTTTGTAACAGAGCTTGGCCCCAGCATTGGAAATAAATATCGAAGTCAATTTTCGGTCAGTTAAACGTTAAAATTTAGGTCACTCAATATTTAATTTATTTTGAATTAAATATTTCTCATAAAAAATATATATATCACCAAGACAAAGCCATGGACAAGAGCTAGTAAAGCATACATAATTATCGATATTTAAAAACATGTTTACATATCAAACAGGTCGAGGTAATGGAAGAAACCACAAGTCTACGATAAAACCACAAGACAACGGTAAATAAGGAATCGAAGGTTTGGCAATTTATGTAAAATTAATTATGATAATCAGTACCTAGGTGCTATGTATAAAATATTTATTAACGGCTGATTCACTGTGCTATTTACCTTTAAGATTTTTTTTTCATCGATAAATTATTTTATACATTAACAAACGTCAAACGTAAACGTCTAACGTCCTATTAAGGCAATATTATCTATAGGTATAACTTTTTTGTTTATCCCGAAATAACTTGTACTTAGAAATATTTTATAAACAATGAGAAAAAATTCAAGATGTTTTTGAAGGAATGTTTTTAGTTCTTACCTTTCTTTCAATATTCTACGTAATAATTTCAAGTAAAAGTTTCTAGTAAAAAGCCCACTGGATTTTCCATTTATTGCGTATATTATATATACAAATACTTAAATGAAAAATATTCTCTACAAAATTTTTCTGGATTGTTCTTGCTTTTTTGAAACGAACAGCATAAATATATTTTATTTGTTTATCTAGAAATATCTTTATCTGGCACCCTTAAAATCTTGAAGGATGAGAATAGAACAACATTTCCCCTTTTATCATTTAGTATTACAGTGGAATAATCCAGTGAAAAAAAAAGTCGTGTGTTCTTTTCATTCTTTAAGAATATTTATATTTCATATATATTTATAAGAAACAATTAATTACTTGATTATATTGCCGTAATAACAGTTTTTTCTTTAGTTTACAGTTTGCATAACTTTTTAAAATCATTATTTAACATTTCTTTGGAAAATCCACAACCCAAAACTATAGAATATTCGGCTTAACTCTACTATAATTATTAAACATTTTTTTTTAATTAAAATGTTATATTGTTTTTAGTACATACTTTTAGTAAATACAATACAAAATTAGAAAAAATAGGTTTATAATTGTTGTTTATAGTTTAATGAATTATTTTAAATATTTACAATTTCTAGATATCATACTTTTTTTTTGAATTTACTTAACTACATATATGTATAACTGTACTGTATACTACACATGTACTTTAAAGACTTAAACAATGTTTACAACTTATGTCTTTTGTTATTATATTAGAGCATAAACTACATTCATGAACATGGATTTCAACCATTTTTTTAATTATAACAAACAAACAGATTAACAACTTCAATTCACCAATCATCAAAATATAGTTTGTTTATGACCAATCTATTAATTATATTATCATATTAATTAAGTTCTAATTTTTTTTTGTATCTGTTGATTTCAAAATCATTGTAAGGCGGAGGGTTTGAGAATAATACAATCGGGCTTTGTGATGTCATTGCTTAAAATAACATGTGATTGTTATGTCAGATAAAATGTGTAATCAAAAGAGCCGCACCGCGACGGCATCGGTACAATTAATTCCTTACTGCTATGACGTCCAAAGCACTTTTCGCTAGTAATACATTATTATAAAAAGTAGTTGTTGGCCTTGTTTTTTATTACTGATAGGTTTCATTATATGATGTTATGAGTGTGTATATTTCCTGTTATAGCAAAACAAATTAAGAGTTAGAATACTCCTTTATTAAAAGTGTAGTGTAATATCTTAAACTATTTTAATATAAAACTAATTTAAAAATAAATTTGGTATTCAAACCCCTTTCTGTGTTTCTATTTCTTTTAATCTATACAGTCTTTGAGATAACAAAAATTGGTATTCCTAATCGGCAGTTGTCCGAAAAAATAAGAAAAAACAAAGTATCAAAAGGTACCCTCAGTGTTTTATTGTTGTATAAAATTTAAGTATGAAGCAGATTTCAAATAAATTTAAAGAGTTAGTAGTGAAAGGGAGAAATAATAAATATAAAAAAGAAGTTAACTTAAACTTTATTAGGTAACTCCAAGAAAAACAGTTTTATGAATTAATAGAAACGTTAATGGTGAGACCTTTGTCCATTTGTTTTAATTCATTGCTGAATCTGGAAAAACGAAATTTAAGTTAATTGTTGCAATTATAGGTTTCAAACAATATATTTTTATTCAAACTATTTATAGATTGTTTCAATAAAAACATAAAATTACCTGTCTACTTTTCAAAAAATATAAAAAAATGTGTATGTGGTCACCTATTATGAGAAATATAGATTTTTCATAATATTAGAATTGCTATTTTCCAATCGATTTAAAAAAAGGGGGATGTTTGCAATTCGTCCGTATTATTTATGTTATTTATGATAACAAAAAGGGTACGTTACCTATTAATAGCCCACGTAAGTGTCTTTCTTCCTCTTTCGTGTAGTCAGCAAAGCCATTAATATCGTACACAGTTGGAGAAGATCTGGCATTAGCTTCGTTTATTTCCTTTAAACTGTTAACAAAGATCTGATAATGTACTTCTCTATCAATCGCATCCTTATAATTTCTGTTGTAATCCTTCATGAATTTGTCAAACAGAGCAGGGGCGTTATTTAAATCGTAGTGAGGCTTCTCACCTATAACCATAGTTACCACTGCAAGCAAAAATATGGAAATAATGATCTTCATGTTGATGATGTTTGATGTAACAGTGATCAACATAATACAGTCGGTCAAGTCATTAACGTCCTTTTATGCTCTTAAAAGTCTAATGAGGCAATGATAAAGAAATAAAAGATATGTCTATTTCATTTATTGCTTTCTTTTTCTGTAACATTTTTAAGGGTTATCAAAATGAAATCATGCACAAAACTTGTGTTTTTTTATATGCGTATGTATTATCTTGCGCCGGTGAAAAGAATCCCATTGATGTTTAAAATAAAATTATGTGTTATTTATGTCAAGCAAGGAGAAGAGTAAAAAAAACAGTTAATATTATTGTGTTTTAAAATGGGTTCTTCTCAATGTTTATGGTTTTTGGAAGCTTTAGATACATCTTTTATAAAGAACGCATTAATCTCTGATTTACTGTTAAAATAGATTTCCTCTGAAATGGTGGTTTTCAAAGGTTATGTCAATGATCCCTTTTTTTTGGGGATAAAGTAATATATAGCTCATGATTATTTCAAAAGAGTATACGACAATTTTCACTTGCCATTTATTTCCATTGCGAGTACTGAATTATTCAAAACAATAAATAAATTGCAAAACATTTTATTTCTTTACGTCACCTTAACATTTCTTGTATGTTTAGGATGTTTCTGTTTGATACCGGTTATTTTACTTTTGGATTATAGCTAACTGGAGTGAAATAAGATTTTGAAATAGTACATTTAGAGGAATATATATTCTTATGAATATTTTAAAAGTTGTATAAAAGTTTTAAAAATAAAAATACTTCTTTACTGTCTCAATTTTAGTTGTTGTAAATCTATTTTTCTAGATATGTGGAACCCCTTCCTATGTCATAACATGTTATATCATTAACTTATCTTAACGTCATTAAAAACTAATTATGTGTCTTTAGATTTTCACAACAAAGTAATGAGTTTATTTATGTTCGATTATTTCCATATTTTAATTGTTTGTTGTTGATTTGAACTTTGGAGTTATACATTTATCTTATCGCTTATGTTTAAGTCACATTATTAATATAATAAAAAAACTTATATCAAATTAATTAACATAATTTTATTTATACGTTGTACTGTTGTGATACCAAAATACAATACTATAAATACAATAAATTTGCTGTAATATATGAAACGTCCAAAATATGAATTGAAGAAGCCTTATTCTCCATTTCAACTTCATAAAGCAAATGTAGTGTTTTAAGTTTATGAGTATTGTAGCTGCACCTTCGTCTGCATTTACAATTTAAATTTAATTTTAACTATCATTTACTATTGTATATATTATTATATTGATTGAGCCTACGATATCCACAACCGTTTAATTATTTTAACTTATTATGCTTAACATTCTGTCTTTAATGATTATATTTTTTGGCTTAATATTTTTATCAAATTTATGCTTATATACATGAAGCATCTCTGTGTGTAACTCATATACACAGAATGATCAAACAGTGTTGAGGTTATTGTGTTTGCGAATGTCATAGTTTTCATTATGATCCAGGCAGTTGTTTAATAACGGTATGTTTAACTACTTTTCCTAATGAGTAATTGTGTCAAATCGCATAATACGAAACTAGATGTTTATTAAATTGATACATGAAATGATTTGTCTTTGTTAAATATTGAGTTCCTCCACAAAATCATTACATTTTAAGAAATTATATTTTAAATGTTTTACAGTACATGAAAGTGTTGCATAGACTGCATAAAAAAAAACTCTAAGTGTTACATAATGAAAAAGGACAATGTAGATATATGGTTGTAAGCATGACTGTCAGTTCTCTCTGTTCCTTAATGGTGTTAAGACATTTCCCAAACTCAATTTAAATAAAGAAAGTTTTCAATAATAATATCTTCAATCATTAAAAAGAATACAGCGTCACATATCCATAATCCTAATATTCTTTCTGTTAATTTTAAAGATCAAAACGTTAACTAATACATAATATGGTGTGAATAAAGCATAATGTTGTTCATCTCTCTAAATATCTTATAGGTATTTATGAACTAAATTCCTTTGAAATTTCATCCGAAATTGTTGATATTAGTTCTGGTACTATTTACTTTTTAAACATTGTTTCATGCAAAGCTGGAATATGTTCACTTTATATTTAACTGAGTTATGTAGGTGTAACTAAGGTTCATGTACATATGTTCTTTACGTAGTGAATTATTAAGACTAAAGTTAGTTAGTTGATTGAATCCAAATGTATCGATTCTTGTAAATACTGAATAAGATTGATCCATAAATAGAAAGATACGATACAATCTATTAAACTTGCCAATTATGTTGGTCAGTGATATTGCGATTAAAATTTGTTAGGCTAAAGTGGAGATCGTAATTGCCACAACTAAATATACTGTGAAAAAATGAATACTAAAAAATTACATGAAAAATATTTGTTGTTTTGTATTCGTATGTTTTTTAAGTAAATATGAATAAAATTGAAAATTTTTATTTTACTTGCAACATTGCCTGTCGTTGAAATATGTTTAATTTTTAGGATTTAAAATTTTAATAGGTACAATAGTGTATTTGTTTGAATATGTTATACATACATTATAATGTTAAGTCTAAATTGATTCTAATGTTAGTTAAGTTATTAAGGCATATATAATTTAATAATATTAAAAACATTGGATTGGATTGTGTTTACTTGTTTATATTTCATAATATTATTACTTATCTTCAATTTTTAATATTTAATGATGATTGCTTGTATAGTAAAAGATTTTTTAATGAATTTATCTCTAAAGCCCTTTATACATAAATTCACTATTAGTTTTTCCCGGTATATGGTTCCAAATAACTTCACATACTATGAAAGCATTATTATATTCAGTATTGAAAAGTTTGCATCAATGTTAAGGAAAAGTCTTGCGATACAATATACAACAATATATTAGGTGTACAACTTTGCTTCCGCCGTTTTTTTCCGTAATTCGAGGCTTTATTGTAAAAAACTGGTTATACATTTATGATTCAAAGTATTGTCCATCGCTGGCCACTACTTTCTCCCATCTTTCGGGCAGCATACGAATCCCGCGTTGAAAAAACTGGTCATCTTTTGAAGCGATCCACGAATAGATCCAATTTTTAACTTCTTCCTAAGACCGGAAGTGCTGGTCAGCCAGGCCGTGTGCCATTGATCGAAACAACTGATAGTCCGAGGGAGCAACGTCTGGAGAATACGGCGGGTGGGGTAGAACTTCCCATTTCAACGTTTCCAAGTATGTCTTGATCACTTTCGCAACATGGGGTCGATCATTGTCGTGCTGTAAAATCACTTTATCATGTATCTCGTTGTATTGCGGCCGTTTGTCTTTCAATGCTCGGCTCAAACGCATTAATTGCGTTCGATAACTATCGCCTGTGATTGTTTCAGTCGGTTTTAACAACTTATAATGCACTACGCCGAACTGGTCCCATCAAATACAGAGCATACCTTGGAACCGTGAATATTCGGTTTGGCCGTCGACGTGGAAGCATGGCCGGGATATCCCCATAATTTTCTGCGCTTGGGATTATCGTAATGAACCCATTTTTCGTCCCCAGTCACAATGCGATGCAGAAATCCTTTCCGTCTTTGCCTTGCAAGCAGCTATTCACAAGCAAACAAACGCCGTTTAACATCTCTCGGCTTCAACTCGTACGGCACCCAATTTCCTTGTTTCTGAATCATTTCCATGACTTTCAGGCGTTTTGAAATGGCTTGTTGCATCACTCCCAATAATCCTGCCAATTCTTGTTGCGTTTGACACGAGTCTTGATCAAGTAATGCCTCCAATTCTGCATCTTCGAAAACCTTCTCTCTTCCACCGCCATGCCGGTCTTCGACGTCAAAATCACCGTTCTTTAAGCGTTGAAACCACTCTTGGCACGTTCTTTCACTAATAGCAGCCTCACCATAGGTATTTGAGAGCATTCGATGAGCCTCAGCCGCAGATTTCTTCATATTAAAGCAGAAAATTAAAACCTCCCGCAAATGACGAGAATTTGGCTCGTAAGCTGACATGTTTGATCGAGAATAACTTTATGATGCAGACACAAATCGAATAATATTTCGATGGCGTTATGTTAACAAATGCCTAAGCTTATTGTATGACATCTACGATCTATTTATTTCGACTACCACTTACCGCTACAACCATCTATTGCAAAACGGCGGAAGCAAAGTTGTACACCTATGTAATATTCCCTGTTGAATTAAATATTTCAAACTTTGTATTTAATGAACATGATTGTCAGTTTTATGGATATTAAGATTAGTAACGTATAGTTTCGCAAGTCATATTTATTTTTAATGCATTTCTTCGTTGATTAAAGAAAATATTGTTTTAGAAAGATATTTTCTTATTCAAGATAAGACTATTGCACTTCCATAATATGCTATGACACCAAACTGAAATGTTTCTCTATAAAAATGCAAAAAATTAAAATTGTATCGCTGTACAAAGAACTTTATTTTATTTTTATTTTACTTTCTGCTGAACATTGTTTGTAGCGTTCCTTGTTGTCTGAGTTTTGTAGTAAATATTATATTATTTAAAGAACTTTTATACATGTTTATAACATTTTTACAAATACATAAAATTGTACTGAACTTTAAGATAACAGATAAGTTGTTAAGATTTACTTAAACACGACGTCTCGGTAGGAATAACATTTAATAGTTGAATCCCCTACTGATCGAAACATACCCAGAGAGAAGAAATTTATATGTGAGAAGAAATGGATTAATCGTTGACGTATTTTTATGATAAATAAATCGTTATAGTGAGTAAATTGTCCACACATGGTCTTATTTGGCGGACTACATCAAATAAACGCCAAGTGAAGTTCCACCTTAAAACAATGGGGTTTAAAAACGTTCATAGTATTTACTTTACTATTTACTACAAGAGTGAAATGTTTTTGTATTATATTATACAGAATCCATTCAGTATAGA